ACGCAAGAGAATATCCCATTTCTAGGAACGAAGTGCGTCTAGAAATGAATACTCCTATTCATGCTCTGCTGGTTGCACAAACCCACGTACAGGAAATCAATTCAGCTATAATGCTGGAATGCATACTTCAATTTGGGCCGAAGTGCCCAACCGTGCGGGAGAGGAGAAGTGCCTAAACTATATGGTTATGGCAATTTTCAAGAGAGTGGCTCACTGATAAACAAAAATTGTAAGTTGATCACAGTTTCTGATATCTGATTATTTTTATAGAGGAAAGTCATGACAATTTACTAACGCAAAAGAATATCTCATTTCCAGGAACGAAGTGCGTCCAGAAATGAATACTCCTATTCATGCTCTGCCCAGCCATATTCTGCGCATTAAAGCCATCAAGTCTGGTTGCACAACCCCACGTACAGGAAATCAATTCAGCTATAATGCTGAAATGCATACTTCAATTTGGGCCAAAGTGCCCAACCGTGCGGGGGAGGAGAAGCGCCTGAACCATATGGTTATGGCGATTTTCAAGAGAGTGGCTCACTGATAAACAAATTGTAAGTTGATCACAGTTTCTGAATTCTGATTATTTTTATAGAGGCAAGTCGTGACAATTTACTAACGCAAGAACCATCAGGACCCACTAGCGCATGTGATACCCCTGAATTTCAGGTTGCCTGGAAGCCATATCAGTTGAGCAGGAAGGGTAAGGAAAAGGCATGGGGCCAAATTGAAAACTATTATATGAATCATTCCTTTCATTAAAACTTGGAAGTTGGTTCCTCCTTCCTTTCTCATATTGGATTGACGTTCACGCACCAAAAACTGTGCTCTGGATGGCTGGTCTGAAAGTTGTCACCAGACCCTGAACGTAGAATTGTAGCGTGAGTACACTTACCTTTAAATCTCAGGACAACGTAACTAACAGTGTATAATATCACAGGAATAACTACGACCAGTCACTTGGACTCAAAATAACAATTAGAAACAAAAAAGAAGCAACAAGAAAATTAAATTAGTTATCAAATTATCGACTCTTTCCCACTTTCAACCCCCTTAGCCCAGGACCTCGACCTGTCATTCCTTTCCACCCTCTCCGCCCTTGACGGTCCTGACCGAATCTCCAGGGCTCTCCAAACTCTTGAGCCCTGGCAGCGTGGCGAGTGGTTGGTGGTAATGGCTCACAAGCTGTTCGAAATTAATGAACTCTCAGACCAGACGCTAGGCGCAGCAGCTCGAAGCATCCTGAGTTCGATTGAAGGGTTCAAGCCTTGGGAAGCAATGGGGATGGAGCAAAGGGATTATCGCAAAATGGCCGCAACAGATGACCTACAGAAGCTTACTCTGACTCATTATGATACCCAGCGTCACGCATTACGAGCCAAAGAGCTTCTTGGGGACCAATGGGGCTCAGACTGGCCAGGAGAATTGGGTCCTCTGTGGCCTACTTCACAAAGCACCCATTTCCTCCGAGCGCTCTCTAAATCCAGCGGTCGCTATGTCAGCTAATTCAGTCAGCTCCAGCTTCAGTGATATCCGCGGTCGATATGGCAGCTAATTCAGTAATATCCCCTGCATGGAGGAAAAAAGTAGCGGAGGGTAAGAAGAGTACAGGAAATGTAAATATCTCTAGTGCTCCAATCCAGATATTAAGAAACTAATAATTGTGATAACAGACTACCAATAACCTTACAAATATGGGAGGTTTCGGAAATGATATACCTCTTTTATCAAATGAGCTGGAGCCGCGGATGAAGCAACGAGGAGATGGACGCCGTTGTTCTCGCACTATCTCCTCATATTGGATAGATTATCACGCAGCGATCAGAGAGGCAAAAGTACCTATATGAGAAGCTTGGTTCTCGGAAGCCCACTTCTATTAGTCTGTATGCTCTTTCCTCTACTTCTCCACATTATAGAACCATGGTTGATAAATATCATAGCTATTCTCAGAGCTGTTGCTATAGTCCAACAAGAGCACAGACAAAACGTACTCCACGTCGAACAATTTAGGAATCAACGATTCGTCCGGCACCAACCTATATTGAGTCAGCCAATTACTCAACTAGCAGATTTAGATACCTGTAACATCCACGGTCGTGCAAACTAGCACTTAGACCCCAGGCCGATGTCCGTTACCAAGAACAGTGACGATGGCAACATCCATTGCCGTAGGCACAGGAGTGCCTTGAGACCATACCATAGATGGATCGGCCGAGGCTCCTGTGAGTACTGTTGCGGCCGAGAAATGGTCAGAGTATACTACATATTCGGCGGAACTGCATCAAGAAACCCTTACCCTCATTCTAGTCCAACCTCTCCGATTTACAGTCTTAATCTGAACCTCTTCATAAGCCACGCTGAAAGCAAGCAATAAGACAATTCGACAAATTCCTATGACGGCCTGCTGACTGCAACGGCCGGAATCCCAGCTAGAACTCTGGAGGCTGCTATGGTAGTCATTAGACGGAGCGGCCTAGATAACGCCCATCCCGGACATAAGGGACTTTCGATCCGACATGAGAAAAATATTCGCATCTAGGATGTTGTTCTTTCTATTCTATCGGCAAAGAGTAAGCTGTTTTCTCTCACTGACAAAAAACTATTATTAACCAAGTGGTTTACCAGACGCACAGGAAAACACACTGGTCCAGTGCCGATGATATTGCGCAGAGTTCAAGACGAGTCGCCGTGCCCTAGCAAGGAGATTGGAAAAGTATCCAAGCACAAACATTTTTCCTCCCTGCACTGTTTCACCGCCAATCTCTGGGTGGTGAAATAGAAGTACCTAAATTAAACAACTCTAGGGTTTGAATACCCTGAGCTTAAGCTCACGATATCAGCTCTCCGGAATTCTGAGGAATTTAGACACTACAGATTAAACATTTAGTTTCAATACTATGGGCTGGTGAAATGCCAGTTAATATTCTCTACCAGACACCCGATGCCTTGGTGTATAGTAGTAACCAATGAACCACCCTTTGGTGAGATTGCACTTTCAACCACCATTTGGTAATTGAATATCCACCAGATTAAACTCTTTATATGTTCCCGGGAGGAATGGCTCACCGTACTGCTTCGACTTTACGAGACTCTTTTGTGGGACAAGGCAAAGAGGGGAGGTCTGATATTGGGAGAGCCTTGGGGATTCCTCAGCAACGGGTAAGTGCTTGATGGGTTCTCGTTCTGAACAGGCGCTGATAGAAAACGTCCTTAGTCTTGAGCACTTTGCTCCACAGTCAAACACCACAGCAGGCAACGGTACAACTCCGCCTCAGCCTATCAATCACAGCGCGCGGATTCTTGATTCCAGAGCATTCCACAGGATGATTACTGTGCCAATGCATCCGCGCATGGATGTGGTGGTCTGTATCTAGCAGTTTAGTTACATGTCTTGTCTGTTATCCTGATATATTGCGGATGTCCCTGCTCATCTTTTTTTCTGATTTTTTCAATGTTTTTTTGTCCGGGGGATTGGGGATGATGACTGCACTAGCCGATAACTTTGCGATGGGGGCGGTTGGGGCAATTGCAGAGTCTCCCGGTGTTTCTGTTCTGTTCTACCCTATTGTTGTGGGTCTTTCTGGCTGTATATTTCACAAACTCCTGTTGCAGTCCTGTCGCCTGTTTTACTGCCTACTCCACGGGGGCTGTGGTTGACATATGCTCTCACTGTACTGGAGATTTATTCATGCACAGGATATGACGAGCCGCAACGAAGATATTTACCCGGGGCCCGGTGTTCACAGCAGCAAATTTTGTTTCATTTCGACGAAAGGGATTTGCGTATAGGAGGGATATACCCAGTTGCTTTAGCGGAGGAGGGAGGAGGCAGTGTGCCAGGGCGAGGATGAAGGACGGCCATTGCGGACATGGTGCGGTTCGCCTATTCTGTCGTATCCTATTCTCTGCTTGTGGGTTCATATTTCCGTCTATTTCAATCTACAAGGACAAATTGAAAAGTCATCTGCATTGGAGGATGGAAGAACAGATTATCAAAACGCAGACGGGGAAAAGGGGCTGCCAGTTTCTGGATATGGTCCGGCTAGGGCGGCGGGTGCGTGTTCTGGCTATTCTATTGCGGCTCTTCTTAGTAGATAGTTGCGGTAGTATCTTATCATGGCAGTTCACCACTTTACCAGAGGATCGAGTGGTTGGGAAAGGACTTGGGGCGGTGGTGTGTTGAAGAAGTATCCTCAGAGTTTATGGAGGCAAAGAGAAAGTGGGGAGGGATGTTTTTCATTAGCTGAGTTTGCTTGCGTCTGGTTTCCGTTCTGGCTATTACTGCTCTTGTATGCTTTGGGTGGATGTATATTTCCTTCATCTCTCAGAGGTAGCATGCTATTCCTCATTGGCGGCTGATGTAGTGGGGGATGGGGAATAGAAATAATAATAGATATTCCTGCTTTACGTGAACTGATAGTTGTGTGTGGGAAACTTGTGGTATTCGGTACCGATATCCTGGACCTAGATAACTCCCATCTACCTGCCTACGCACACCATGGAAGAATCCGATGCCTTTTTTCAATAGGCAACATCGTGCCATTGCCATAGTATTGCCATTGCACCTCCAAATATAGTCGAGAATGTAATGCACCAAGCGCTAGGTAAACGACAAACCACTCCACCGCCACACAGACTCTCCCCATCCACGCACCCCTCTAGCCGCCATAGTAATAATCAGATAATACTCGACAGCCCCAGCGCGGCTCGCCACATGCACTATATACCACGCCGTGGAAGATCGGCGGCTTATGCAGGGCAGGTAATGACAATGCGCGACACAATTCCCCTCCCTCCGGAGCAGTATGCCGGGGATGGGGGAGTTGATATGGCGAAACTAAATGGGAGGAAGTGGTTGTTGAATAGCCTCGCTTCCAGTCTCATTGGCCCTATGTTTACACTATAAGCAATCGGAGACGGCATTAGCATCAGCATCACAAGTGACATTACCCTCAATGTCTTGGCTATTCCACCTCTTGGCCAAAACAGCAAAAAGTATTCGGTACTAGAAAGACTCGAACTTTCAACCTCCCGGTACTTGCTACACCTAGGTCGCCCTAGGAAGTAACAGCCAGACGCGCTAACCAATTGCGCCATAGAACCAGTATATGTGTCATGTCTCCTTGTTGCCCCATGAAACGGTGCTGGCTGGTGCTACCCACTGATAAGCACGCAATGTCAATACAGGGTCCTTCCTGTTTGTGTGTATTGCAGAAGAACCCCACCCATGCACATACAAATACGCACACGCACGTCCACATCACACACGCACACACGCACGCATCGGGGCAAGGTGCGCGCTGTATGCGGCGGGCGTGGAGTGTGTGGCGGCCACTGCGAGGGAGCGTACCCAGCAGCCGGTACGGAACCCTGCAGTCGGGCAGCTGCAGGCGGGGGAGGGGAGGGCAGGGGCGGTCGAGTGAGGGGCGGTCGAGTTGAGGGGTACAGTGGTTGAGTTAGGGGCGACTCGTGATGACAGTGGACACGTCAGAGGCGGTGATGGGTTTCGGTTGGGAGAGAAACACCCCTTTCCTTTGCGCCCCCGCACTATGTACATACGTAGCTACAGCAGCACGATCACAACGCAGTGCCGAGATGGGTTTTTTTTAGATAGATAAATGGGGGCGGCAGTGTACGCGCGCGGCGGTGTGATAGGCTTGCGAGCATTGGGGGATGGCCGGAGCAGGAGGCGGAAGAGGAGATCGGGGGGGGACGAGGAGGAAACGGGGAGGGACAAGCAGAGTAAAATACACAGCGACGGGAGCGCCAGTCTGTACATCGTCCAGCACAGCGCACACAGCGCACCAACAACACAGCGCACCACCGCACCCCCGCACAGCGCACCCACAGCACAGCGCACACAACAGCACCACCGCCGCCGTGCTGCTGCGCAGCTGCATACGTTGGGAGGGCAGCTCTGTCCCGAAGGCTCTGATTCTCCCGGTGTTTGTTCGCAGCGCCCCGTCTATTGCCGGCCCCTGCCGTATACAACACCCCCCCCTTCCCCCTCCCCCTCCGCCGCGAGCGCAGCTCACCACATATTGCTGCCACACGATCTACAGCACGTCAAACAACCCCCAACCAGACAATATACTTGCCATACAAACCCGTGCCCCGGCGTACAGCGAGCACACGGCGATCCTGCCGGCCGACGACACGGAAAACACCGTCAGGCTGCAGATGGCGAATGCATACAGACCCATCCCCGGCGGCAGGGGCATCTGCGGCCGCTGGAACGATGTCTGCACTTGCACCTCCAGAGCGCTGGAATACACATGCTACTACTCGACCATCTCTCCCACGACATATGCCCTGCCTGCGCCGAGCACACCCTCCGCTGCCCCGCACGCGCATGCGCAGGGCCCAACACTGACGCTGTCCGGCTCGCCAGGGTGAGTCCCTCTTTATATTGGCACGCGGACGCATATGCCGCCCTGCTGTGCTGCGCGCCGTGGGATATTCATACATACGTACATGCGATCGCATACCAATACATACCCCTACCCCTACCCCAAATCCCCCAGTTATAACCCGTCCCGCACCCCCCCCCTCCCAAAATCCTGGAGCGCCTGCTGCTTCCCCACCCGCCCTCCTCTTGATCACCCGTTTCCTATTTGTCCGAGTCTTTTGTCTGAGCTATACCTGCATACTATATACTATATACTATACCCACCGTCCAAAGTTTCTTGCTTACATTAATACCAGCCCCACCGCCGCTGCTTTGCCGCCCTCCTCCACCGTGGCTGCACAAGAGGAAATGCGATATTCAGCACCCTCGTCAAGCTCATCCCCCGACACCCACGACTACAATAACATTCCCACCACTGCCTTCTACCACACCTCCCTCTACCAGACCTCTCCCGCAAAGCTAGTCCTCACGCCAGCTATCCTCGCCCCCACAGCGCCAGCAGCGGCAAACAAGATCACGAAAAGGCCAAGAGACCAGAAATCAGCAGACATGCGATCCTACACCGGCGGGCGCTGTACACGGTTTAAACACTCTTCGTCAGTGTCAGCGGGGATGCGAGAATGGGATGTGGATGCGCTGGGGGGGGCCACGGGCTGGTTTTTCCAGAGGCTGATTGAGGCGGCGACGACGACTGGGAGCGAGTCGCCGACGGCGCCGATTCGGGGGATGGCTGGGGAGAGGGACGAGAAGGTGAGGGGGATGGAGGTGGATGGGGATGTCGATGTGGATGGGGTGAGGGAGCAGTTGGAGAGGCTGAAGACCTCGGACGCGGCCGAGAGGAAAGATACGCAGGTGGTGAAGGCACAGGTGCAGGGAGAGGATGTTTTGGCGATGGCACAGACCCTAGAGAACTTGACTGTATCGAACCGACCACTGCCCCCAGTCACTACCACCACCGCCGCCGCCAAACAGAATACATCAACTACAATTACATCATCCCTGTCCTCCCTCCCCTCAAACCCCTTCTCCGCCCTCCCCGCGAGCCCCTCCCCTTCCTCCCGCCCCACAATCCCCCCTTACGCCCCCATAATCACCACCATCACAACGTCAACCACCGCCCCCGCCGTCTCCCCTCCTATCACCCCACCCCCCCTCTCACCCTCCCTAACTGCAACCCCAACCGCCTCTCCTCCCCAGCCAATGAAAACTCCTCTCCGCGCAGCAGCAAAACCATACTACCCCTCCTCCCCCGTACTCTCTGCCCGGCGATACTCACCGAGTAATTCCAGCCACAGCACTTACCCCGGGTACAAAGGGCTAGCGAGCTCGTCCGGGAGCGGGATCGGTCGTCGGATGGGGGTGGATCGGGTTGATCGGGGGAAGGACAAGGAGCGTGTGTACAGCGGGCACTATACATGGAGCGGGTATTCCAGCGATGGGAGTTATGACCATGCGCCGGCTTCGCCGTCCTCCTCCTCCTCGTCGTATTCAGCATCTTATACTTGCTATCTAAATTCAGCAATATACTCACCCTCCTCACCGTCGTCATCGTCATCATCGTTTCACCCGCACTCGCCCCTTCCCTCAAGCCCAAAGGTCCACGCTGGCCGAATCGGAAAACGCCGCGCTGCCTCTAGCGGTGCAGGGGGTTCGTCGAGCGTAAACCTATCCGTGGGCGCGCTGGCGTCGCTGGGTCAGGCAGGCGGGGCGGGAGTAATGCAGATGCATATGGGGATGGGGGTGGTAGTGATGGGGGTGAGGAGGGTGGGGAGACGAGCGCCGTCGCCGGAGGTTCAGATTGCCGGTATTGACCGGCAGGATTCTGGGGTTAGTGAAGGGGGGATGGCTGCCGGGGGGAAGATGGGGATGGGCGGGGGGGTGCATTCCGGCTCGGGGGACAATGATGGCGACGTAGTGATGATGATGGACGGAGACATGGATATGGACGGCGAGTGGGAGCTGTGAGGCCGCAGCGGAGCAGCGAAAACGAACTGGCGTCGTTTTTTCACTCCTTGTATCCTCTCGGCGCAGGGACCTTTGTGCAGCATTTTGTTTTGGCTGAAGAACCTGTGCAGGAATACCACCGGCGCGGGAACTGGGAATTCTGGGAAATTTGTAGTTTTGGGTTTGGGTTTGTGGTTTTGGGTTTGGGTTCTGGGGTTGGTGGGGTTTGAGTTTGGGATTTGGGATTTGGGTATTGGGGTTCTGAAAACATTAGGAGTATATATTACCTTTTTCTTTTTTTTTCCCTTCGTTTTTTTTTTCGGAAAATGGACGAGAAAAAATGCGGAACAATGGCACGAAATGAAAGCAATTAAATGGATTTACAAACGATCAAAGTTATAAAAGCCCCGCAGCCTAGGTAGGCTGGGGGAAAGGTTGTGGGGGCGCGGGGTTGGGCGTGGCTGGCCGCAGATCCGCCGCTTATTGCGTAAGAACGAAGACGCAGGAAAGGGTTCGCAGCACGCAGAAGGATAATGAACGAGGTGCTTGGCTGGGATGAAGGGTTTATCCTTCTGGTAGGAGCTGGAGGGCTAAACGTGGTTATCACACATGTATATTGACTATAGCCGCCGCCACGGACAGCATTCAATCCTAAAGACTGAGTTGGGCTTGATGCAAATACACACGGATGCAATGAATTCAGAAATGTGGATTTGGGATTTAAAAAAGTAGTACATTGCATATATGCCACCATCGCATTCAGGGCAAGCCTTTCTTCAGGGTAACGACACCATCCTCCGTCCGCTGAACAATGTCCTAATCTCATGTTAAACTGCCCTCTGAAACCCATGCGTCTACTGAACTGCCCCTGGGCCCCATCTGGCACTGCCCCCTGCGACCCATTGGGGCATGCCTCAAGATCCGAGTTGAAGTAGCGAAAACAGGAATCGATACAATAGTCATACGAAATATACCGGATTGCAGTTTTGCACTATAGTCTCTTGACTATTATTCGGAATGTATATGGAGCTTTGTTGGGCGAGGAGGCAGCTTCGATAATGTGTGTATAACAATCAGCTTGCTGACGAGTGGTATTGCCACTGAGTTTAAGGTCGAATAATGCGATAGATGGTACTATACGTAGAAGTTAGTACCTCACTAGACTAATATATTATGTTTAGATTAGAATGGTACCTTTGATCCTACGATAGTCCAATTCTTCTTCTCTGTCTAGTACCACTTCATTTTTATCCTCAGAAGAGCTGGAAGAACTTGAGGAATCCCTGGAGGCTGAATCATCTCCGTGTCCGAATGATGTATAGGGTTACATTTGGATCTCTTCTACTTGCTTTTTAAGTTCAGCCATTGGGAATATGCTGGGTCATGACCTAGATCTGCCAGAGAAAGGTTGTGGGGGCGAACTAAGCCTTGTGTAGTCATTAAAGGTTGTGCATGCTCAGTCTCGGCTCTTTCGTCTTCGTTGTCATGTGCTGTAGGAAAAGGTTTCTGAGTCTCATTATCGTTGCTGTAGGGACTTCCATTCCTCACTTGTGCGGAGTTTGTTAATTGCCAGGTGGACGTCATGGATAGGCAGTCAGTTTGCACCTCTTGGTCAGGTACGTGAGGGCCCCTGCGCTAATGAAACTGATTTTTAGGGGGTGAGAGCTCCCACTATCTTTGGTTTGGATGCTTTCGAAGTGATGTCAACGGAGTTGACTACGAGAGGGGAGAGCAGAGGGCTCCAATCAGTACTTTCGTGTGGACTCCCTCTTAACTTTAACCAGGTCTATTTCACCCAATTGTATACTTTCTCCCCAAATAGGTATCTCTTTGAATTCTGAACTCGACCTCAAAGGTGTATCGTAACTTACTATCAATTTTTTTTAGCAGCTTCTATAAGCCCACCCCGGGACTCTTCATTACCGAAGTAGCGCGGGCTTTACTCGCAAGCCAGTTTTGTTGGTTCGCCTATTCTTTAGTCTCCAAGTAAATCCTCCTCTCCTTGTTGGCCTCTTCAATCCTGTTGTCCAGATCCCCACGCAGTATATTCCTTCTCTATACTGATTTAATAAGCTCAAGAGTCACTGCTTTATACTCTTCGGTGACATGATTGGCTCTTTGAATCCTGCGATCCATGAGCATACACAACTCATTATTCCTATTCATAAGTTCTCCTATTGCAATAGTATTCTAGCGTTACAGTTCTTTCGGCAATACTCACTGTCAAAACGAAGGGTATAGGAACCAAAACGGACGGAGGTGTCGTGGAGGGCTAGCCAGGGGATCCCAAATACGATTGAATATTGGAGTTTCGTTACGAACAAAGGGAGTCTGTAGTTCTAGACTCGCTTCATCATAAGCTCGCAGTGAGGCACTTTTATCGTTCTGCGAAGCCACATTGAGGCCATACTCCCCACCCCTGTATATCTAAATACCAGGGTCAATGGGTTGATCAGTTGCGTTGTATGCCGCTCGGTACTGCAACTTTCTCCTTGATCTTGTCACTTGTTTTAGAGTCTGGTAGACTCAATTAGGGAGAATTGTTGCGGCAATCTCCGCTACTCCAGTCGCGACCGTGAGACTGGTCTTGCCTAGAACCGAGATTGTAAGCGCTTCTCATATAAACCATATCATTGACAGGAGTGAGGCTAGGGACGTTGTAGGTTTTTGTACAATAATTGACCAGGGTATATGTTAGCCTTCTCACCTCTTTCATATGGTGGAGCTCTGTTTGGGCTCACTCCAATACAGTAGTATTCGCACCGGTCATTTCAGGGACTTTTAGAGAAAAAGAAAGGTCAGCATACAAGAATAGTTGATGAGGGTAATGATATATAGGAAATGTGAGAGGAATTGTTGCAGCCTGGGAAGAGCTTACAGAGAAAAGATAGGCAAATAGATCGAAACAGAAGACGGTGAACAGTTGTTGAAAACTAAAGGAGGAGGGGGACAGGAGACGAGAACGCTTGTAGGACGGGAGGGGTATATGAGGAAAGAGGAGGTAACGATTGGAAATCGAAAGATAGTATGGAGAAGATGGAAAAGGTGATAGCGAAAAGGACGGCACCAGTCATAGAACCTCTATGTCGTCTGGTTGGCACAAGCCTCTCGTAGAGACCTCTATGATAGTTGTGAAGGCTAAAAGAGGTGTCGGTTAGAATTACTATTGCTCTTGGTATTCTTCCTCTATAGACCGTGGCTTAGGTTAAACTTAAGCACCCATTTGCAAGACCATATCAACACCGTGGCTGAAAGAGCTCCTAAGAACACGGTCAGCCATCGTTGACCTACGCACACAGGGTGACACTGACTATTGAATTGAAAGGCCTTCATTATTGCCCTTTGTACTCTGTAGTATAGATATGTTTGCGGCATCGCTTTGCCTAGTGTCTATTATAATGTGCGCCTATATTACTACGTATCATTAGTATAAGCCGAGAAATTAGAGTGTTAACTTTACCTTCTATTATTCTTACCAATATCTTGTTAAGCAATCCACCAGCTTGTTGGTTAATGAGAAGCAGTCCTTTTGCCTTCGGCGCCATCTCAAACTTCCGGTGAATGTGCATAGCATGCGCTCTTTCATCATGAACGTCGGACTCGACAGGAATAAAGCACTATAGCCAATTCGATGTATCCTCTGCTCTTTGTCTTCTGTAGCCATACCATTCCCGCTAGAATAGCCCTTGCATATTCGTCATTGAGCAACAAGTCCGCCAATTGCATAGCATTTGCATGCAATTCATTGAGCTTCATTTTGATCGAGCATGCCACAATAGCCATCCCAGGCCTCGATGGTGTGCATAGGTATAGATGTTGGAATTCATATGCTCTTTCTTGTCGCCTGACCTTGTGTATTCGCCTGGTAAATTCTTAAAACATATAAGACAGTCATTAAGTTAACAATTCGTAGACAGAACACCCACTAGATAAATCGGGGTTCGGGAAGTACTTGACGGTTATCCTGTTAACAGTGTCCAAGTAAGGTCCGGTGGTCTAATGGTATGACTCCTGCTATGTAGGTAGGTGATCTGGGTTCAACCCCCAGCTGGATACACAACTGGGCAAATTCATCAAAGGAAGTGGGGGGTTTGACAATGAAGACAAGGGCTTGTTTAACCTTGAAGCCAAGGCCTTCCGGAACCGAGATATCTGGGTTTGTTCGGAGAGTTCAAGGACGGCAACAAGGGTTGTGAATTCAGCGTGGTATTGAGCACAATCCCGATTAAGTGAAGCACCTTTCTTTCGGCAGTTGCACGGGCATCGAGTCATCGAAAGCAGCGAAGGTTTTTCAGGTAATTTTCCCGCTTCTTTATTTAGGTAGGGTCAGAACCAAGCTTTAGCAGAACCGGGGAGATATGAAGCTGTAGTGTTGATTTTGCTGATGTCTGAGGTGTAACGGGCAGGATCAGAGTTGAAAAGATGATGTATAGAGGTAAGGTAATCATCAAAACCCTCCCTTGATCCTGAATATGGTTTTGGTTCAGCGACTTTTGAACCCTTGTGAACAGGGGTTGGAGCCGGTGTGGGGTTATTGTTATTCTGAGGAATAGTTAGGCCATAAAGATAGCCCTGGTTATAATATTCCCAAAGTGATTCAACACAAGCAGGATGGCGAGAGCACGCCAGGCCGTTACTAAATCGACAGGTGCTGTTTGTTCGGTGTCCTGAGGAGCAGGGGTCGATGAGATGTCATCCCAACCTAAATCAGAACCCCTTCCAACCGAATATGCATGACCATAGGAACCATCTGTTGATTTAACTTTTTGTGGAGAAGTTCGCTTCTTTCGCTTGTTCGTTAGGTTTGGTTTGCAGGCTCGTTCTGTTTGCCCCGAAACAGCCGGGAGGCAGTAGTTATGGAAATGGCGATAGCGAGGATGCCGTCTTGCCGTTCTGTTGCACCATTCTCGGATTGTTGCAGACATATGCCTTTTTTTGAAAAAAAATAACGGGACTATGTAGCCTAGGCGGGCCTCTTGAGAGGGTTCGGAAGTCGTATGAGCAGTAGGAGCAGTTCCAGTCCTATCGTTGCTTCTATATAACTTGTTGATATGAGAGGAATGTGTGGCATTCAGGCTGACAGTATGCAGGATGAAATGAGAGGTCTGTCATAGGTAAGAGTCTGTTGCTTTTGAGCGTGCAGTACTGATGATGGGAAAGCAGTTGCTGTCGAGAGTGTGTGCATTCCAGGTTCAGCGACTGACCACATTGCACACCCCACTCTCTTCATCTCTTGTTCCTAGTAAGTCAGTGTTTCTGGTGTGTTTGGCAACGTTACACAGGCTCTCTTGCATCGAAAAGCCCTCTGAGGGAGTCGTGCAGTCTTGCAGACTCCTTCAGGAAGACACGTTGAACTGGACATATAGAGCTTCCTCTGATGAGTAGTCTAGTTGGCACAAGCCACTCGTAGTCTGATGAGCTGAGTCGTGCCGATGTCAGTCAGTCTATGAGTAACTATCTAGCGAGAAGGAGATAGGGCTGTGCAACAAGACTAGTACTTACTTAAATTATGGAGGTTTGGCAGTAATATGTAGGTAGGGTTTGTATCGTTGGGTACGAGGCTAGTCATGATGGCAAACAAGGTGTTTACCCTCTTCGAGGGGTAGTGCAACCAGACTAGGTGTTTGCATGGGCTTGGCATAAGACAGCAAGATTCCTGGCATTGTACAGGACTTGTAAGGAGACTGGTTCAGGGTAACGCCACCACCATTCCACAAATACCATCCAATGAAAGCCCTAGTCCCAATTCTAAATATTCTCCTATTTATCCATTCTGATACTTCCTGTTCCGTATCTAATAATCACAATATAGATTCATATACGGAGCAGGTATTAAGTTCCTGGGGCCTTATATAGAATATAGAATCTATTTGCCTTTCCACAATATTCTTCACACTTAAGCTTCCCAAGTCGGGACTAATTCCCATGTTCCAAACCTCACACCACGGGCCGGTAGCGACTTGACTGGCCCCGAGTACCTGTCATCCACAAGTCGCTAAAACTTACTTCCATCCCTGATCAACTTTGTGAGCCTTTGTGCAGGCGTGATCAATGAAAACATTTCCTGTTAGATATTCTCTTGCAGGTTCCGCGTGAAAGATGCAGCTGGTTCCGATACAAACTTTGGACTGGAGTTCACGCTCGAGTCGGATTTGGATTAGTCATTTGGATGTGAATACAAACTTTCCCACGTGGGATTGATTCCCATATTTAAGAACACTGTAAGGGCGCAAAACTCCGCATGACGTCGCCCTTCAGACTAAGGACGGTTACATATAGAGTTAAAAAAGTGAGCAATTAATAGGATTAAGAGTTAAGGAAGCCGGTGGGTTTTGTTTAATAATCATGGGTATTATTATAGTCTTCCGGAGGCCTTCCATTTCACGCCTGGTCTTATGCAAGTGTGCTCATCTATACCAAGCTATAGCTTATTCCGCTACTGTACGTCTCATGTGGTTTAATGTTGGTGTGAAGAGATTCTTTCTCCAAGGGAATGTATTGTAACTACCGGTACTTTGTTGGCGACAACCGGACAAGCATTTAAGCTGAAGCACTGCTGGTGTGCATCGTACTTGATTGCCAACGTCGGGTTGCAACGAAAGTACCTGGGCCAACCAGTACTAAGTATACTAGTCTGCTTAAGACTAGACTACTTAGTGCGATTCGAGCAAGGTGACTTTTTAGGTTATCTAATTGGGAAGCGACTACCCATTTAGGAAATTCCGTAATTTTGTCGGACCCCAGCCTCTCGTACAGAATTCCCATTCGCTCTGGTTGGCAAAACACCCTCGTAGAGGACTTCGGAGAAACGTTAGCAAGCCTGAGCAGTCTAGTTGAAACATAAAATGTTTTCTTATCGAATACGGAGGCGTACAAATTTAAAACCATCTAGAACCTTAATTTCCTGCTGCATGCATCATGCGTGCCGCGAATTAACCATCACTGACCTATGGAAGCATCATACATTAAGTACTTAGTACCCAGTGTACTACCATTATCCTATGCTATGTGTACCTTTACTATGAAGGTGACTAGATAGTGCACCCCTCTCACTGCAGCCGTGTGGAGATAAATGTTAGATTTTCCATGTAATGTTACTTCAGTCCGCTTTGAAAGTAGAATTCTGTGAGCTTTGAGATAATGCTATGGCTGCGACTTCTTGTCTTGACTTCACCTTTTCCTTAGGCTTGGACCTAAGCTTGAGTTTTCCGTCTCATGTACTAGTTCTCGATATTATACAATCCACCGCTCAGCTATCTGCACTCAGCTCTGACCACTTGAGCTTCTCTTAGAGTAGATAGATGTATCGCTGTAAACGGCCAACTTCGAGAAACGCAGGTAATGTCAGTGCTACTATGTACTAAAATATGCATACTATTAAGTAAGTAGCTATGCTCAGCACAGCGGTCCCGCTCTCGGCTCCAGACTGGCTTTATCCCGACTGCGTCCTATTGGAAAGCTGAGCATAATTATTGAGAGAACATATTAAGTACTTATGTACTTAAGTATATACTATCTAGCCTGGTATACTACCATCACCAGGGGCCTCGATCGCAATCTCTATTCTGGTTGATAATACGACTCCTGTACGGTAAGTACTTCTTATATAATTTACTTTGCAGAACTTTTGTCCTTTCATCGGTGTCAATCAGACTATTTCAGGACGATGTTGTTAGTTTCCACTTCGGAAAGCTGCAGGCACGCCGCCGCCGAGATTGTTGGATTTCCGAATCAATCTCGACGCCCGGAGGTTCCGAGGTTTTAAACTAGGGTTTGTTTAACATAATCTATTATAATTTATTTACAAAGCAAGGCCAGCAGCTCTTCACCCTTCCGCGTCTCACATATGTGTCACGACGGAAATGCAGGCTACCCCTAGGTGTGACTTTTCTCTTATCTGGAACCCTTTCCGCTTACTGAGGGAACTATGGCACTGATGCAGTAATAGATATAGGCTCTATGCCCCGGGGTCCCCAGATCATTCCTTGCTATTTATCTGGCAGACAGGGAGGTTGACTAACCCTCTACTCTATCCTGTCATTTCTTGTGCCAGGATTCAAGCTAGTTCCAACTGAGTTCCTGAATTTGTATACACAATCATTCCACACACTTAATTTCTACCATGCAGCATCTAGCCCTGGGGCCCAATTACAGAGAAAGCAAGAGAGCAACAAGAGGGACTGTGTGGATGTTGATGGTGATACTGGCGATGGTGGTGGGAGTGAAGGCACAACCTTGGCCGGGATATAAAGGCCATCCGACGGATACTTTGACTAGTGCGGGTTTGTTTAGCTACTCTTCCCCCCAATTCTCCTCCTGAATGTCTTTAGTTCCTCTCCCGCAATTGCTGAGCTTGATACCTAGCTGATTTCTTCATCTGAGTTTAATGCGCGCATGCTGAGTTTCCTGTCTGCTATGCAGGTGATAATACACGGAGCGGGTTCGTTCTTTACTCCCCGCGAGTGAATGCGGTGGCTGGGATGAGATGCGGTCATGTAGGTGTTTGTGACCACGTACTGACAGGGATCGACATGGTGATAGATACATGGATAACCACAATATGGACCCGAATGTCCTTAAATCCGGAACTTTCAATGTCATGTGGCGGAGAAAGATGCTTGTCTGCCCTCCCTATCCCCAACTCACGTCCCAACTAATCTCCCCCAACAGGGAAATTACAACGGCTTCACCGAACAGTTCTACGCACAACCCCTCCTCTTTACTCCTCCCGACGGTCGTCAACGCCTCTACATCATCTCCCAGCAAAACATCGCCTATATCATGAATGCCACCACAGGAGACATTCTTCATTCCCGGCAACTCAAAATCCCCTTCCTCGTTTCTCCCGATCTAGAAGGATGTAATGATATCTCTGACTGCATCGGCAGCACCGCCACGGGTGTCATAGACCCCGAAACCGGGACATGGTATTTAACAACAAAGACGTACGAAGACCAAGCTAAATTCACCCCCCAGGGGCTTAGTCAGGGACGGTACTGGTTCCATGGACTGGATATAACAACACTTTCAGATCGGAAAGGATTTCCTGTGTTGATA